CAAACGCTTTAGAGATGTCTAGAGGTACTGGGAGACTGAAAAGTTAAGTGTTTTATGCCAGGAAGGTCATTTACAGAGTGTTTAAACCATTTGGTATGGTGGGCATTGAAGTCACCAAACACAAATATATTTGCAGATGGATGTATAAAGAGAGCCTTGTCTATATTATCGGAAATGCAATCGAGTACATCACAGTTTGTGGGGGTGGGTAGTGGTGGTGGAGAGCGATAGAGAAAGAAAAAAAACTTGTAGATTTGAGGAGAGATAGACGAATATAATCTGGAGATTCAAGAGAGAGTTCCCTAGCCGGTGGGAGATGGTCTCGTGCGTAAACTCCCAGGCCATGCATGTGGGTAATAGAGTCCTTTCTAAGGAGGGGAAGATAACCGGGGATCGAGGAGGAGATTGACGGATTGAGGTTGGTCTCGCAGAGAGCTAGTATATCAGGAGACTTCTCAACGATGAACAATTCCACACGGTTGTTGGAAAAGTAAATTTTAAATGGTTTAGGTGATATTTTTAAAACGGTTTTAGGCTTACTTCTTTGATTGTTTGTGGTGATGATGGATAATGTTGGTAGTGAAAGTGAGAGGACCTAAAGTAATAGTAGCTGAACGGTTATCGTATATAACATGGGCAGAAAGGAGCTAGCGCAGCCTGCAACAAAATGTGTCCTTGGGGTTGCCACCCGGAAGTGCGTGCAGGGACACCATTCCATGCGCGACATGATACAACAAGCATCCCGATATTATGCAACTATTGATCAGAGCAGCCACTTAAGACGTTACGCAAGAGTTAGCGCTTCTAACGTCCAGTTGGGAAGAGCAACCAGAGAACTGTCAACCCGGTACCCTCAGTATGAAGAGACGTTGCCACAGACTGCACATATCACAAGGGATTCACGACAGCACTAATACAGAGGCCAGAGAAAAGGAAAAGATCCGGGAACCCTTTCCTAAACAAGAAATAAGGGATGAGCCTTTATACCTGTTCAAGACAAGGGGGAGGAGTATTGACCGGGCGATAGCTAGACCTATCTACTCCTATTGCACACATTCACATACACACAAGCAGAATAAAAAAAACAATTTGTGTATAAATAAATTTTTAATTTAGTTTAAGTGCCAACATATATTTTGGCAGGAGGGAAATAGACTTAGCCACAACATAGCCGATTCACGCGGCTCAGTTAACCGTCCGAGGCTAGCATGATTATTTCGAGGAACCAGAAGACATACCAAATGCTATTTGTCCGAACGAAATGCTGATAGTGGTTTTTTTCCAACATCGCCTTTTGATGGCCATTTGCAAGCGTTCCTATTTTAACTCATCGGAATCGAGAATGAGGGCATAATTAGGCTGACAATTATTCGTCGGGAGGAAGGAAAGACAAACTGAACATGGCTGATACACGCAACTGGGTTAACTGTCCGATGCAAGCATGATTATTTCGAGGAATTCATATTCATACAAAGAAATCAAAATGAGAATTGAAATGGAGGAGAGGAGGGGAGATAAAATTCGCATCGAATATTTGTTTTACCCACCCAGGCTGGCCCAGTAAAAGCAAGTGAAGAAATTGAATGCATGTTGAAAATGTGGGATCCAGTGTTTCTCTTAAGAATTGCGCGTAAATATCAACCTCACTGTATAATTACTTTAACACGATTGTTATCCCATATAGTCATAACAGAAATTCGCAATGCTTCATTTTCAGCATTATGTGAACATTTCAAGTGGAACATGAGATTAACGCCGCTCGGCGGTTGATAGAACACTAGAAGAAATAATCCTTCAAGAAGGCAACAGAATTATATATTTATGTTAATTTTATGTTAAAATCACTTGAATCTATGTATTTGTTTGTTTTGTTTATTTCCGCTTATCATAAATGAAATATATATACATTGGAATGTAGAAATTTGGCGAAATAGTTTAACTTTTAATCAGAGAGAAAATGCATCAATAACTTACTTTACGTGCACTAGTCATTTTCCTGATATTGTGATTCATAAATGCAATTGTTACCGACTACAGTAAGTTTTTCCTACGTTGATTCTGGCGATTCTGAACACAAATCTCGTGATTCATCTTAACCAGGGAAACTACCTGGTTTGAGAAACACTGAGCTAACATTATATTAATGGGTTTATTCAATTTTATATAGAGATTGACGCACACACACACACACACACACACACACACACATATATATATATATATATATATATATATATATATATATATATATATATATGATAGATTCTCCCATCGAATTCGATGTATGAGGTTCGAAAACCACGAACTAATTTTCTGCATGCCTGTGAGGGTCATGACTTTTGAGACCGGCTCGAGAATTGCAAAATAGACCACAAAGAGTAGAGGAAAATGTATTGTATCCAAGTGCAGCGAGAACACTGTTAGATATCTTATTTGCTTTCTCGTTTCATGTAGTCCACTGATGGTTACTTCTCAGTGCAGCTATATCAATGTTGTACTTCTTTAGCTCCAATGTGACCAGAGCTGTTCTTCTTTCTAGTGCTGAGTTGTTGTCCTGGAGAGTTGGTACATTCCAAGTGCCAAGATGAAGTTGATGTTATTTCGTAAAGTTTTTGGCAGTAGCCGGATATGTGTGGAACTAATTAAATGTAGTTATCAGAAAACCACCACGATGATTTGTTTCGAGTGGTGAAGGCTTGTGTCGGACCATCCATGCATTTTGAATCTGTAGATAAAAAAGTAACGGCGCAAAAGACTTGCCACAGAAACTCCGAACGACAGTCGTCATGTATTATTATCGCGGTGTTTAACCTCTCCGGATCACAGTCAGTATCAACAAGTACACGGCTCTCGGCAGACATATGCAATATAATGACCGGGTTAAGCTGTCATGAGTTTTCCTTCCCAACTGAGGTCTTGTTATCGTGATACCAATACTAAAAGGATTGCTAACCAAAGCTCAGAGAGACTCCTTTCACCCTCATCAAGAGCCTGCGCCAGTTATCAACCTAGTACATTAAGTAGCTCCTCAGGATATATATATATATATATATATATATATATATATATATATATATATATATATATATCTATCTATATTTCTCATGTTGTCTGTCTGTGTGTCTGTAGTGGGCGTTGTTACCTCGCCCAGGCCGCATTTCTTACCCGATTTCGTTGCGGTTTTCACCACAAGTTTGCAAATAGCTGCCGTAAGGAAATGATGGGGCCCGATTTTTGAGTTCGGACTCAGGTTCCAAAAAAATTGATAATCGAAAAAATCAATAATCGAAAAAATTTGCCACCCTCTTAGAGTCTACCATTAGAAGAGATGTCCTGAAGTTTCATGACCGCGGACCCCTAAACAGCGCGGAAAATCGATAAAACCAAAAAACCGATACGCCCAGATTGCGCCTGAACCGCATGTCGGTTTTTAGCGAAAACCGACCGGATTTATGAGTAGGCCATTGGGAGTCACCATGTGAAGTTTCAACTATGAGCGCCCCCCAAACAGAGTTCAAATCGACAATCGGTCAACCCTTAAAAATGTTTTTCCTGCTGGGTATTTCCTAAATGCAGATTAATTTGTCACGCTATGCGCAGGAAGAAACAGGTCAGTGCGTGCAGTGGGGTGGAAGAAAACATTTGACCTCAAATTCTGGAATGGGTGCAGGGCCATTGAAATTCGGCTTTTTATCCCTGCTACCAGGTCACACTTTGAGCCACAAATGACATAATCGACGTTGTCAACACTTGCTTTAATCGTCGCATCTTACCAAACTAAGCACTTCCTTTATTCGCGTCTTTACTGAAGAAAAAACCCGCATATGTGCTGAGTGAAAATGGTTCCGCCCTCAGCAGTCCATTTTCCAATTCTTTAAACCTTTTCCCCTAGCCCTATTCTCATCGCCGGCATCAAGTGCATTAGAGCCAAGCTGCATATGCAGTAGGCAGCTATGCCTGCTGCATTTACTGCGCAGCCCAGTCTATCGCTCCATACCTATTTTTACCTTTTCGTAGTTCAGATTTGCTATTAGACAGTTAACTGTTGTCGCAAGTTACTTCTCTTCTGCCTTTACTACGCGGCCCAGTACAACTCAGTGTTTCACTACTTTTTAACCTTCAACGCTTCAACGTTTTGGTTGCGTAACCTCTTCCTACAGCGACGTTTTCGTGCTGCCAGAAAGCACGGTCCATAACTAGGAGAAGCTATTTCCATACCGCTCCATTGCATTTTTAGTTTTCGTATACAACGAGGTTGCACCGCTTCAGCTTCAGCATCAACTTCTATTCACAGCATTTATACAACCCTTCAAATGGCTCCTGCACGGCAGACATCCGCACGTCAGCAACTGAAGACCCCTAATACTGTTAACGTTACAGATGCAGAACAGGCGACTGCGGAGGAGCACATAATAACTCCGGTTACAGATGATCATATAGCGTCTACTTCAACCTCTGATTTGCACTCTTCTGCGTGTCGTGGCAATGAGCAACCCGGCAGCTCTTCAAAAGCTGCAAAAACACCCAGGCGAGGCATCCTTAGCAGGCGTTCTTAAAAAGCCTCACCAGTAAGGGGAAACGGTAGCAGGATTCCATTGAGTGCGCCTCATTGGGGTAGAAGCGGCTGGCGTCTACTTCAACCTCTGCTTTGCACTCTTCTGAGTGCCGTGGCGATGACCGACCCGGCAGCTTTGCTAAGCGTGCCAAAATACCATGGCGAGGCAACCTTAGCAGGCGTTCTAAAAGAGCCTCTCCGGCAAAGAGAAAGTGGGAGGAGGAAACCGAGGTAGAGTCCTCTTTGAGGATTTCCAGTCAATCTCAACGGAGGCAGTTTGTTTTGTCACATGAAACACTTATTTAACGTAACTACCGTTTGTACTGCAAATCAGTTTACACATATTCGTTGAAAAGTAAGAGGAAACTAATTAAACGCTTGCAAGACAACAAAAAAGCGGCTTCATCACAAGCGCTTTTGCGTTATCGACAGAGCCCGCATCGAA